CTTCTCTAGCACCACAGCTCAAAGGCATCAATTCTCTTTCTATCCTCCTTGGTCATTGTCCAAATCTCTGATGCATAACAAGTGATTGCAAAGACCATAGCCTGTATCAGACGCACCTTAGTCTCCAGAGTGACAACTCTGCTCTTCAGTAACCTGGAGAGATCCCTAACAGCAGACTTTCCCATCACAATACGTTTTTTGATTTCCTGGCTACTGGTGCCAAGAGTGTTGACCGTGTTTGTAGACTCTTGAAAATCAATGGATTCAACCTGATTACTTTTTCCTAGCACTTGCCACTACTCTCATTCTTATGCCAGTGATGGCAACATCTACTATTGAACTGCTTAAGCCAAGCTTCTAGAAACCTCCCTTACTCTTCCCTCTTCCTCAGAATTCTACACTCAAACCAAGTCAATCGTCATTGTTGTGTACTGTAGAGTCAGGACCGACCCACAGCTGTTTCTCCAGAGGGTTTTCAGAGGTAGTTAATCACAGGGGAGGAGACTGCCCATCCTTCTCGTGCAGAGCAACTGTTGGTCTCGAACTGTGTGCCTATGAGATTGAAGCACAGCTTCTTGCCAGTTGACCACTAGAGGTCCCTAGTCAATCATTAAGTTCCATCTGGAGAACGACCACTTGGCCAACTGACTGGAAGAGATCTATATTTGTTCCTAGCCCAAAGAAAGGTGACCCAACAGAATGTGGAAACTACAGAACAATCTGACTGATTTCACATGCAAGCAAGATTTTACTGAAGATTATCCAAAAACGACTGAAACAGCACATCAACAGAGAACTACCAGAAGTCCAGGCTGGGTTTAGAAGGGGTCGTGGTACTAGAGATATTGTAGCTGATGTCAGATGGATCTTGGCTGAAAGCAGGGAATACCAGAGGAATGTCTATCTTTGTTTCATTGACTATGCAAAGGCATTTGACTGTGTAGATCATAACAAACTATGGCTGACTCTGAGAAGAATGGGAATCCCAGAACACTTGATCGTTCTAATGCGAAACTTATACTTGGACCAGGAGGCAGTCGTCAGAACAGAGCAAGGGAACACTGCATGGTTCAAAATTGGGAAGGGCGTACACCAGGGATGCATCCTATCTCCATACCTTTTCAACCTATATGCAGAACAGATTATCCGGGAGGCTGGGCTCTATGAGGAGAAATGTGGGGTCAAGATTGGTGGACGATTTATCAACAATCTGCGTTATGCGGATGACACAACCCTGCTTGCTGAAACTGAAGAGGACCTGAAGCGCCTGCTGCAGAGTGTCAAGGACTGCAGCCTACAATACGGATTGAGGCTCAATGTCAAGAAGACAAAGATTCTCACCACTGGACCAATTGGCAGCATCAGGATGGATGGTGAAGAGATTGAGATTGTACACAGCTTTAGTTTGCTTGGCTCCATAGTCAACAGTCTTGGCACCAGCAGCCAGGAAATTAAAAGACGTATTGCCATGGGAAAGTCTGCTGTTAGGGACCTCTCCAAAGTACTGAAGAACAATGGTGTCTCTCTGGAGACTAAGGTGCGTCTGATACAGGCTATGGTCTTCGCAATCACTTGTTATGCATGAGAGAGTTGGACAATGACAAGGGAGGATAGAAGGAGAATTGATGCCTTTGAGCTGTGGTGCTGGAGAAGAGTATTGAGAATACCATGGACTGCTAGGAAAACAAACAGATTTGTCCTGGAAAGGGTTAAACCGGGTGGCTCCTTGGAGGCAAAGATTCTGAGGCTCCGTCTAACAGACTTTGGACATGTTGTGAGGAGGGACTGGTCCCTGGAGAGGGATATCATGCTTGGGAGGGTGGAGGGACAGCGCAGGAGAGAAAGGCCCTCTATGAGGTGGACTGATTCAGTGACTGGGATAATTGGGATGGGAGTGTCAGAGACAGTGCAATTGGCACAGGACAGAGCGGAGTTTAGGGCTGTTGTACATAGGGTCGCTATGAGTCGCAAGCGACTCGACGGCACATAACAACAACAACAACCTCCTTGACATTCGCTGGACTCCAGAGTCTAGGATAGAAGAGTTAATGTATAGATGGACCTTAGCCTTTTCTGAAGCAGTGGTTACCTTACCCTTCAACCATCGGCCTCTCAGAGTCACTAAGTTATGGTTCTCCTATTTTACCTGTCAAGAGGTCTGCCTCTTTGACTCCTACCTTCTGTCATTAACACATCAGAGAATTCTGATCAGGGCTTTCTTAATTCAGAGTATCAGAATATGGAGAAACCCAACTGGAATCTCAAGTCCAAACCTGATGTCAGAACTGGTTGGGGGTGTCCCCACACCACCCCAGGGGGACCACGGCATACCGTTCATCCACTCCTCCGATTTCATGCTGAACTCGTAAGCCGTCACCCACAGCTGCTCATAAGGCACTTTGTTGATCAACATGGTTTGCAGGAGGGGGAAGGCACTCTTCTCCTTTTCCAACAGCTCCTCCTCCTTATTGATCACCTGAGGGGTAACGGGAGATGCTGATTGCTGGGTGAGTAGTTACCCTAAACACTGCCAACCACTGTGGCCAACTTCTCAGTACCTTGTCAACCAAGTGGAGGAATATACTCAGTACAACTACAGAGGAAGAGATCAGAAGTAAGATTTAAGGGTGGGGAGGAGGGTACCAGGTTCAGGTTGTCATTCATAGGATCACTATGAGTCATGGTTGACTCACCAGCACCTAACAACAGCAAAGACTTAAGCAAGCAGATCACTCAATGACCTCGGAGGGCCAAGGCAGTTGAGATGTAACCAGCTGAAGCTTTTGGATAATGTGTACTTGCTCCACCCATATACCTCCATTATATCATATTCATACATCCATTTGCACATATTTTTGTTTTTATTTAGCTATATGAGCAGCCAGAAAAACAAAAAAATACATTGCACTGGGTAAATATGCTGTCAGGACTTCTCCAGAGTACTGAAGAGCAATGATGTCAGCCTAGAGATGAAGGTGCGCCTGATCCAGGCCATGGTCTTTACAATTACTTGTCATGTATCAGAGACCGCGACAACAAGGATGGTAAGGGAGCTCTGGTGGCCTAGTGGCAAGAAGCTGCACTGCAATTGCAGAGGTAGGCAGTTCAAATCCACCAGATGCTTTGCTGGAGGAGGAGGGTAATCTCTTCCTGTATCAGTCGGAACTGATTTGATGGTACACACACAAAATAGTAAAATTAAAATTAAAAAAATAAGGATGGTAGAAGAACAATCGATGCTTTTGAGTTGTGATGCTGGAGAAGAATATTAAATACAGCATGGAAGGCTAAGAGAAAAAACAGGTTTGTCCTGGAGAGGGTGAAATCAGGCTGCTCCTTGGAGGTAAGGTTTTTGAAGCTCCATCTGACATATTTTGGGCATGTGGCCAGGAGGTACCAGTCCTTGGAGACGGACAACATGCTTGCAAGGGTAGAGAGACAGAGCAAGAAAGGAAGACCTTTAATGATATGGATTGACTCCATGACTAGGGTAACAGGGGTAGGTGTGTCAGAGACAATGAAGTTGGCTCAAGTTAGAGCAGGGTCCAGAGCTATTGCCCACAGGGTCACTATCAGTCGCAAGTGACTCAATGGCACATAACTACAACAACAACAATGTGCATAATGTCTCCTTATACTGATTTGCCCCAAACATAAGAACTTTAATGTTAAATCACTAATAGACTTAGGGAGCTATGGTGGCCTAGTGGCAGGAAGCTGCCCTGCAATCCCAGAGGTGTGTGGTTCAAATCCACCAGACGCTTTGCTGGAGAAGGAGGGACAATCTCCTGTACCGGTCAGAACTGATTTGACGGTACACGCACAAATAATAATAAAAAAAATGACTAATAGACCTTTTGGGCAAGTCTCTAAGTCTCACTTGCCTTTAGTTTACATGAGGATGAAATTCAGATGTAGAGGTCGGAGCTGCTGTTAGGCCCTGTCGAGTTAGGACCTGCTCATAATGATCCACGCACAACACTGACTGGTGCTGCACCAGCCTCACCACCGCTACCACGCTCGAACTCATTCTCGTAGCCGCTGTGACAATCCACCAGGTTAAGGCCCTTCCTCTTTTTCACTGACTTCCTACTTTATTTGAGTCTTCAACACTAAAGGGACTTGTACTGTTAACTCAAAGGTGGTGTCACTCTAGAGGTTCGAAACCACCAGTAGCTCCATGGGAGAAGTCTGTCTTAATGATGTGTATGGAGCAAAGCTTTCATCCAATGAAAGTCTTTCATGTGTTGATGTGGCGAGACTCAGAGAACGAGGAGAAACATCCATTAACCATAATGGAATAATAATAATTGGAATGTATAACGTACAATGTATTATCTAGAAAAAAAATCGGAAGTTGTCAAAAGTGAATCAGAACGAATGCAGAACCGTATCCCAGATATGAATGTCCTGCAATGGATAGGTACTGGCCATTCTGAATCAGATGATTAAGTGGCCTATTGTCTAGGGAATGACAAATTGAAGAGGATTATGTCACATTCACTGCCAAAAAGACATTTCTACATGAAATATAATGCTACAGCAGCAGGATAATATCCACACACATAAAAGGAAGACCTGTTGATATGACTCTTATTCAATTTACCCACCAAATTTGCCATTAAAGCCAAAGGTGAAAAAATTGAGGATTTACACTAAACTTCTACAATCTGAAATGGATCAGACAGGCAATCAAGATGCATTAAGAATAAGTACACAGTTCGAATCCACCAGATGCTCTGCCGGGGAAGGAGGGGCAATCTCCTCCTGTACCAGTCAGATCTGATTTGACGGTACACGCACACAAAAATAATAAAATTTTAAAAAAAAAAAGAATAAGTAGAGACTAGAATATAAAAGTTGGAAACATAGTAAGCCTGGTAGTTGGAAATCATGGCCTATGTGATAGAAATGAGGCCGGAAACAGCATGATAAAATTGTGTGTGACCAAAACAACTTATTCATTGCAAATATTCTTTTTTGAAAACAGTGAACTATATACATGGACCTTACCTGTTAGTTTGATTCTATAGGAATCAAACTGACTACATCTGTGGAAAGAGATGGCATAGAAATGCAATATTATTAGTCAGGACGAGGTCATCTGAAGAAAGTGAAAATAAGTCCATGAGACTTAAAATGAATATATCCCATCTGAACTTAGAGAACAGATTTGGTCCACTGACAACTAATGATGGGAGATTGGACGAGCTGTGGGATGACATCAAGGATATCATACATAAAGAAAGAAAATGATCATTCAAAAGACAGGCAAGGAAAGAAAAGATCAAAACAGACGTCAGAAAAGACAAACTTGCCCTAGAAGGAGGAGAACCCAAAGCAAAAGGAAGAAATGATGAAGTAACTTTGCAGGTGACGCTGGAACTGTGGGCATAGCATTCTGGGGTCATAGTCTCTAACTAAGATGGTCATTGTCTTGAAAGGAGTGCTTATAGAATGTGACCCAGGCATGAAGCAGTTTCTGCTGTACTTGGATGAGTCCAGTGCCTTTGAGGAAGAAGTTCTTCATTGAAGACACTGATGAAACGAACGTCTTTGTGAGAGCAGAGCTGGTGCCTTTCCTTCAAGAGCAAGTGAGGGAATTAATGGACAAAAATCCTTTCTCCCTCACCTAGAAGTGAACAATGGAGATCTTGATCACATAAGGACTGTCAATAACCAACTCAAAACAGACCATCGCTGTCCAGTAGCTTCTGACTGACGAGGCCTTAGCACGCTGTGAAGAGTGCTACAGGAAAGACTATAAGTGTGTGCACAATTTGGTACCTGTTCCCTGAATTAAAAAGGAAAAAAGGTGGCAGCAGCTGCTTAAAAAAATTATGAAAGAAGAGAGCTGATAGATTTCAAAGGGCAGTTCAAGGAGACAAAACAAAGTAATAGAGCAAAATGTGCAAAGTCCTGGCATCAGAAAACCAAAACCAAGGAACACACTTGGCGTTTCTCAGAACAAAGAACAAATAATTTGAGAAGATGGACTATATGAAGGAGAATGTGACATCAAAATCGGAGGAAGACTCATCAACAAACTGTGATAGCAGATGGCACAACCTTGCTTGTAGAAAAGAAAGAAGATAGGAAGCAGTTACTGAAGAAGATTGAAGATGACAGCTTCGACATAAAGAAAACAAAAATTCTCACAAGTAGGCCAAAAAGCAACACTATTAAAAATGGAGAAAAGTTTGAAGTTGTCAAGTATGTAAATGTACTGGGATCTACAACATACGTCCATGGAAACAACAGTCAAAGGAAAGATCCAGTGTGAAAAACACAATGTATAGAACCTTGTAAGTAAACCAATACAACAGAGCTCTGTTGGCCTAGTGGATAGAAAGTTATGCTACCAAGCCAAAGGTGGGTGGTTTAAATTTGTGGCCCTCGGGCCTGGTTTTAAATGTTTTTGGTCCAACATTCTCCTAAGTGATATAGCACTAGCTTGTGCATTGCCGTACAGAGGTCACTCATGGTTGCTGTGATGCTAAACACTGTGACACTGATGTGTCAAATGCAATAATGGTTACCCATGGTGGGAAGTATTTGGTGGAGCTCCCTGGTCAAAACAAGCTTGGAAGCAGGAGTGGAATCCACTTCTGAAATAGCTTGCCTCTGTAAAATCCATGAACTTGGAGAAACGATGCAAGTTATACAAGTGTTCAGGTCTTTCGTTCATAGGCTCACTATGAGTCATCTACGACTCAATGGCACTTAACAACAACAAGTAAACCAGTATAAAATTTAAAGAAATGTTTGAAAAAAGAAATTAAAAAAATTATTGCGTTTTGGGCAAATCTACTGCAAAGGAGGAGCTCTTTTAAGTGCCCCAAAGTAAAGATGTCTCTTCAATGATGGAGGTGCACCTTTCCTGAGTCATGATATTTTCAATCGATAGGAGACGTGGATGATGAATAAGGAAGCTGAAGAATCAAGAGAACAAAGAAATCTGTCTTGGAAGAAGTGCAGTCAGAGCGCTGCTTCAGGGCAAGGATGGTGAGGCTTCATCGCACAGACCTTGGACACTTTATAACGAGGGTCCTGTGCTTAGAAAAGGACACTAGTCCTTAAAAAGTAGAGGGCCAGTGAAAAAGCAGCCCCTTACTGGGATGGACTGACACACTCACTGAACAATGGACTACAGACACACTAGAGATTGTACGGATTACGTAGGACCAGCAGGGTTTCCTTCTGTTGCATGAGGTCACAGTGAGTCGGTGCTGACTTGATGGCTCCTAACAACAACAACAACAACACACTCATGGAGACAGACAGACAGACATAACGCTCCTAATTTCAACTCAACTGATTGCAGTCAAGTTGAAACCAACTAATAGGAGACTGAATCCCCTGGTGGGCTGAGTTCTGTCAAGAACACAATGAGATTAAGGGTTAGAATGATTAACTTAGTTGTTGTTGTGTACTGTTGAGTTGGAACCAACCCATAGCTGACCCTCTTGTAAGTTTTCAGAGGCATTAAATAGCACAGGAGGAATCAGCCCATCTTTCTTTTGCACGGCAGCTGATGGATTTGAATCACGTAGTGTTGGGTTGTTGTTGTTGTTGTTGCTGTTAGATGCAGTCAAGTATGACCTATAGTGACCTTATGAACAACAGATCAGAACCCCATCTTATCCTGTGCTATCCTCACACCGCCTGACTCACTAGAGTCCATTACAGCAGTCACTGTATCAATCCACCCGGTCAACAATCTTCCTCTCCTTCGCTCACCCTCCACTTTTCTGAGGGTTACCCATGGTGGACAAATTTTAGTAGAGCTTCCAGATTAAGACAGACTAGGAAGCAGGATTAGCCTTCCACTTCTTTCATAACAGGACTCTGAAAACCCTAGGAATAGTAGAGGAATATGAATAGTTATAGCAGTGTAGTGGGTAGAGCCCAGATTGGAAGCCGGTCAAAATAAGGAAAAATAATGGTAAACATTGTTTGACAATTGGAACATGGAATGTAGTTAGCTTTAATGCTGGGAAACTAGAAATTCTGAAAAATGAAATGAAATTCATGAACATCAACATTCTAGGCATTAGCAAGATGAGATGGACCAGCTTTGGCTACTCTGAAGCAGATAATCAGACAGTACACTATGCTGGGAATGAAAAACAGAAGACTGGTGTCACGTTCATAGTAAAAAAGTCAATTTCAAGTTCTATCATGAAATTGTGTTGGGAGTGACATTACCCATGTGTACACAAGGTACGACTGTTAATATGACTATTATTCCAATATATGATACTAAATCTAGGGCCAAAGAGGAAAAAATTGAGAATTTTTACCAAATTTTACAGTCTGAAATGGACCATACTTGCAATCAAGATGTGTTAATGATAACTGGTGACTGGAATGCAAACGTTGGAAATAGTGAAGGAACAGTAAGTAGTTGGAAAATGTGAGGGTGGAAATAGAAATTTAATTTTGTATTTTTCAGTGATTTGTTCATTGCAAATACCTTTTATAAAAGTCACAAAATGATGGCTTTATGGACCTCACCTGAAAGGCTGCATAGAAATTAGACTGGTCTTTGGTTTGGCAGAGTAATTCCTTACCACTAAGCCACCAGAACAGAGAGATCAGCTGGCCCAGTGGACAGAAAGCAATGCTACCAAGCCAAAGGTGGGTGACTTTTAATTCGTGGCCCTCGGGCCTGTCTTTCATTGTTTTTGTTCAGACATTCCTCTAGGTCGTACAGCCCTGGCGTACAAGTAGCCATACCGCGGTCACTTGTGGTTGCTGTGAGGCTGAACACTGTGACACTGATGTGTCAAATGCATTAACAGTTGGCTACCCAATGTGGACAGAGAGTGGGGCGGAGCTCCCCGATTAAAACAAGCTTGGAAGCAGAAGTGGCATCCACTTCCATAATAGCTTGCCTCCGGAAACCTATGAAACCGGAGAGAGGATAAAAGGCACCCAAGTGTCAAGGACTCTCCTTCATAGGATTGCTATGAGTCGCCTGCAACTCAACGGCATTTAACAACAACAACAACAACAAGCCACCAGAGCTCCCCATTAACCTAGTACAATCATAAACCCTCATCCCAAGACTCCAAACCTCAAATTCCACCAGCGCCTGCTCCAAGTTCTTGGATAATTCATTAAGCTTCTCCACATTGTTCCTCAGCTCTTCCGTGGCCATCACCTCACACTTCCTAAAGGTTTCGAGGTCCTTGTTGTAGCCCTCAAGCTTTGACTCGAATTCTGCACACCTGGAGGCAAAGACGGCACAGTCACATTTTGCCTTTTCCCCTGGTCCATTTTCAAGTATCAGCGTATCTCACCAGCAACTCATATCTCAAATAACTCATATCAGCATATCTCAAATCCACCAGCAACTTGGAGGGCAATCTCTCTCTCTCCTTCTTCTTCTCCCTCTCTCCCTCTGTCACTATGTGTGTAAAGCATTCTGTTGTATACTGTCAAATAGCCACCAGCCCATAGCTGACCCTCCCGTAGAGGGTTTGAAGAGGCAGTTAATCACACGGGAGGAGATTGCCCATCTTTCTCCTGTGGAACAGCTGATGGATTCGAACAGCAGGCCATAGGGATTGCAGTGCAGTTTCTTACCAGATCACCAGAGCTCTCTGCTGTTGCTATTGTACTGATGTATCTTTGAGTCAAGTAAGACTCATAGTGACTCTATGAACAAAAGATTTGAACCCTGTTCTATCCTGCACCATCTTCACACTTCCTGACACACAGAGCCCACTGCAGCGGTCACCGTGTCAATCCACCTAGTTGAGGGTCTTCCTCTCTTTCACTGACCCTCCAACCTCAACAGCATCATGTCTTTCTCCAAGGAATAGCCTCTCCTAGCAACAACCCCGAAGTATGTGAGGTGAAACCTAATAATTCCTGCCTCTAAAGAGCTCTCTGTCTGCACTCTGTCTAGGACACAGCTGTTCTCTTGGCCGTCCATGGGATGTTCAGTGCTCTTCTCCAACACTACAGCTCACAGGTGTCAATTCTTTTTCTGTCATCTTTATTCACTGTCCAGCTCTCAGATGCACAGCAAGTAATCAGAAAGATCATGGCCTGAATCAGATGCACTTTAGTCCTCAATAATTTAGAGGGGTCCCTAACTGCAGATTTTCCCAGTGCAGTAAGTCTCCTTATTTCCCTAGTACCAAGGGTGTTAATTGTGGATCCAAGTAAGATGAAGATGTGGACAGTTTCAATCTCCTCTTCATCCATCAAGACACTGCCTGTTGGCGCAGAAGTAAGAATCTTTGTTTTCTTGACATTGAGATGCTGAAGGCTGCATTCCTTGATTTCCTGCAACAAGTGCTTCAAGTCCTCCTCACTTTCAGAGCAAGCAAGGTTGTGTCATCTGCATAAGGCAGCTTACTGATGAGTCCCCCTCCAATCCTGATGCCACACTCCTCTTCATAGAGTCCAGCTTCTCAGATAATTTGCTCGGCATACAGACTGAACAGGTATGGAGAGAGCATACAATCCTGATGCATTGTCAAATCAATTCTGACTCCAGGTGACCCTGTGTACAAACGAACGGAACACTGCCCAGTCCTGCTGTGTCTGAGCCCCTGTGTCAAACTATCTCACTGACAGCATTTCTCTCTTTCACTGACCCTCTGCGGGAACAAGCACAGTGTCCTTCAGGGAATGGCCTCTCCGGGTAACATGTCCAAAGTTCACGAGACAGTTTCACCATTCTCGCTTGTAAGTAGCATTGTGACTGCACTTCTTCCAAAGTAAATTTGTCTGGTTTTGTTTGTTGTTGTTGTTTTAAACATCCATGTTATGTTCAGTATTCTCCATCAACATAATAATTATATTTTCTTCATCTTTCTTCCTTTTTAAAAAAATTTTTTTCTTCCTTTTTTTTTTCCTCTGAGCTGCAGATCTGCCTCCTATTTTGGGAACAGCAGTCGAAACCCTCAATGTAATGAATTCCAACTAAAGGCTGTCAACACAGATAATTTTAACTAAAGATTTAAAGAAAAGTGTTATCTGGCTTTTACTCGCCTGCTTTTTCTTTCTTAAGAATATTTGCTGGATTATTCAGCATCACAAGAACTTGGAAACAGCTCAAATGTCCAACCGTAACTGAATGGATTGAGAAACTGTGGTACATTCACACAACGGAATACTGTGCAGCACACAGGAGCAATGATTTCAAAAATACTACATAACTTGGGAGAGACTAGAGAGCATGATGCTGAGTGAACTAATTCAGTCTCAAAAGGATGAATACTGCATAAGACCATTATTGTAAAAATAGAAGGATAACAAGTAAAACATGTTTGGGGACCCAAGGGGGGAAGAGGTAGGAGCAGAGAGGTGAGGATGGGTAGGGTCAAAGTCACAGAGTTTCACAATTTGGTGGTTTGAGGAAAGGGGTAAAGGAAATGAGAAAGATCTGGCAGGGATCTGAAAAAGATAGGGCAATGATGGGCTTATTCCAATGGTGATTCATTTTCTAAAACCTATTGCATGGGTTTGAATTCATTCTTTAGGTCTTCTTAAGAAATGCTGTGCAAATGCACAGAATACTGAATGATTCAAGAAGCATTAAAAGCAGACGGAAGGAGTATACAGAGTCACTGTATCAAAAAGAATTGGCTGACATAAGAAGAATTTCAAGAAACAACAAATGAGCAAAAGGCAATGGTGATGAAAGGGGAAGTGTAGGTTGCTCCGAAGGACTTGGCAAAAAAATAAAGCCCCAGGAATTGATGGAATACCAATTGATGTATTTCAGCAAACAGATGCTGCCCTGCATGTGTTCACCAAGCTGTGCTAAGAAATCTGGAGGACAACTAGTTGGCCAACTACTGGAAGAGATCCACATATATTCCCATTCCAAAAAAAGGTGACCCGACAGAGTGTGGAAATTATCGTACAGCATCACTAATAGCACACCCTTGCAAAATCCTGCTGAAGATTATCCAGAAAAGACCTGAACAGTATAATGACAGAGAACTACCAGAAATACAGGCTGTGTTTAGATTAGGTCGTGGCACTAGAGACATTATTGCCAATGTCAGATGGATCTTGGCAGAAAGCAGAGAGTATGAGAAGAATGTCTGTGTTTCATTGACTGTGCAAAGGCATTTGACTATGTGGATCACAATAAGTTGTGGCTAACCTTGAGGAAAATGGGAATCTCAGATCATTTGATTGTGCTTATACAAAACCTATACTTGGACCAAGAAGCAGTCCTCAGAACAGAGGAAGGAAGCACTGCATGCTTCAAAATCAAGAAAGGAGTGCGTCAGGAATGCATTCTGTAGCCGTACCTTTTCTATCTATATGCAGAATAGATGATTTGGGAAGCAGGGATTTATGAGGAAGAGTGTGGTGGCATCCAGATTGGAGGAAGACTCACTAACAACCGACAATATGTAGATGACACAACCTTGCTTGCTGAAACTTGAAGCACTTACTGCAAAAAGTCAACGACTGTAGTCTTCAATATGGACTGAAGGTCAACATCAAGAAGACAAAGATTCTCACCACTGGGCCAATTGGCAGCACTGTGATAGATGTAGAAGAGATTGAGGTTGCTACCAATTACAGCTTGCTCAGATCCACAATCAACACTCTGAACACCAGTAGTCAGGAAATCAAAAAATGAATTGCATTGGGAAAATGTGCTGTCATGAGCCCCTCCAGAGTGCTGAAGAGCAATGATGTCAGTCTAGATACAAAGGTGCATCTAATCCAGACCATGGTTTTCTCAATTACTCGTTATGCTTCAGAAAGCTGGACAATGACTAAGGATTACAGAAGACGAATAGACGCCTTTGAGTTGTGGTGCTGGGGAAGTGTCTTGAACATACCATGGACTGCTAAGAAAACAAATAGTTCCTAGGGTGAAACCAAGTCTCTCCTTGGAGGCTAGGATTCTGAAGCTCTGTCTCACTTTGGGCACGTGGACAGGAGAGATCGGTCCTTGGAGAAGAATATCCTGCTTGGAGGGGTGGACAGACAGCGCAGGAGAGGGAGACCCCGGATGAGATGGATTGACACAGTAACTGGGGCAATGGGGGTTGGTGTGTTGGGATTAGTGAGACTGGCTCAGGACAGGACAGGCTTCAGAGCTGCTGGACATAGGGTCGCTATGCATCACAGGCGACTCAACCAATAACATTCTATGACAGGTTTGGAAGCAGGAGTGACATCTTTGATAAATGTCAATAGCTGTAGAGGGGTGTCAGATCTTTTGTTCATAGGGTCACTATGAGTTGGGCTTGACTCGAAGGCAATCAACAACAACAACAACAACATTGCATGGGAATGATTGTATGAAACACAATGTGAATGAAGAATAGTGTGAAACACAATGTATATGAATTTCTTACCAAAGCAATAAAATAAAACAACAACAACAAAAAGAATATTTACTGAGATTATGACAGCTCAAATTGGGCAGTGGGAACTTCATATGTGATGGGGATATGGGGACAGGGTACAAATCTACAATTCATAAAGTGGGGGGTGTGTGTGTGTGTGTGTGTGTGTGTGTGTGTGTGTGTTTACTCTGCCAAGTACCTTAACACTGCCTCATTTTTCAGTATGTTCTCTCTGTCTCTCTGTCTGTCTCTGTCTCTGGTGCGCTCTCTCTCTCTCTCTCTCACACACACATACACACACACACGTACACATGTCTAAAATCAAGTACAGTACATAGTAAGGAAATCCATGATAAATACTGGTAGAATTGACAAATAATGAACAAATAAATGATTACAGCACATTTCACTGAATACTGTCAGCTTCAAAGTAGGCAATTTCTTCACCCCACCCCACCCCACTCCCCAGCCAACCCTTTATTACCCCTTTCTCACTGTCTCCTACATCCAGGGTCTTCAATGTAAGGCTAGCAACTGGGTTATTATTGCAGAGGCCATTATTACATGCCACTATTTTTGTCTCATCTTGCGTCACACTCAACTTGCAATTACTGACAGCAGAATAGGAAGCTTATCGGCAGGGCTTACTATACAGAAGCAGGCTTAGAACATCCTTTCTTGTTGTTGTTGTGAACTGTCGAGTCGGAACCGACCCTTAGCTGACCCTCCAGTGGGTTACAGAGATAGTTAATCGCACAGGAGGAGATTGCGATTGTCCTTGTCCCGTGGCCTCCTACTGTGTGCCTTTGGGACTGCAGAGCTGCTTCTTGTCATTAGGCCAGCAGAGAATGTCCCTTAATGGGAAAGAAAAGGACTTTTCCCGCCAGCCAGTTTTCTTCAGCCCCACCCACAGGTTGTCTGGGGCAGGACGCAAGAAAGAACCGGGAACCTGCAGCAGGAGTTAGGAAGCCACGCTTCATTTCCCAGACGGCTCACCGCCCCCCCTTACCGTTTAATCAGATCCACCTCGGCCTGATCCCGCTTGTTAAAGAGCAGGCTCCGGCTGTTTTCAAAGATATCTTCAATCTGGTCAGGCCAGAGGAACAAGGTGCTGTTCAGCTTGATATCCTCATCTACAAAACAGAAACGGTCTTTTCTGGACCCCTGCTTGGCAGAGGTCAGCATGTGGGGAGTTCCAAAGATGTGGGGTCAAGAGAAGTGGGGGTCGGGGTGGCAATGAATGAAACAGGGGAGCATTTCTGAACAACTGGCTTAGTAAACCCCTTCCCCCCAAGCCCACTATGAATGGATCAGAGCAAACACTAAAGGAGTCAGAGGAGAAGGAGGGCTGGGATGATTATCCTTGTTTTGATGGATGATAAACCCAGAGAGGAAGCCCAGTGGTCAAGCACACACGGAATTATCAACTGAATTGCGTGTTCCCCAAAGTTGGTGCTGGAACCCTGATTCCTACACTTGTGGGCATGGTTCTGTTTGGGAAGAGGGGTTTCTGAGCAACATTAGTTGTTGCTAGATGCTGTCAAGTCAAGTACAACTCATAGTGACCCTATGAACAATGGATCTGAGCCCTGCCCTGTCATGTGCCGTCCTCATCCTCTCTGACATACTTGAGTCCAGTGTTGCGGTCACTGTCAGTCCACGTGGTTGAGGGTCTTCCTCTCTATAGTGTGTCACTACCGAGTTAGGAGAAAGAGCTGCTATGGCACAGACTGGAGAAGACGACGTCATGTGAGGACAGCTGAGAACCAATGGATGACTCGAGCTGCCCCTGAAGGGCTCTGGTGGCATAGAGGTAAGAAGCTGTACTGTTAACCTAAATGTAAGAGGTTTGAGTCCATCAAGCTCCAGAAAAGAAATATGAGCAATCTCCTCCTGTGAGATTTACCGCCTCTGGAAACCCACTGGAAGGATCAGCTACGAGTCAGTTCTGACTTGAGAGTTCCCAAAAACAAAAACAATAACAATCCATGAAGAAAGAATCAACATGGGATCTGGAGGACCTGTTCGGGACTCAGCCTCCAGAGCTGTGAAAAATGAAATACGTCCTGTTCTCAAAAGCCACACACTTGTGGTGTTTGTGTCACAGCAGTCCTAAATATCTAAGGGACATCATTAGAAGGAGTTAGAGCAGAACTCGAATGCAGGTTTAACCAACTTGAAAGTCCAAGTTCATAGCTATTCTGTTCACCAGGTTAGGACTGAGTAAAGGCAGAAACCTGGATCGAACTTCTGGCTCTATAGACACATCTTCCCGTGTGAGTCTCAGTTTCCCAACTGGTTAAAATGGAGCCACTGTTATCAATGCCACATGATCCACCCACCTTGCGTCTCTGATCAGTTCAAATGCCCTGGCTTCCTTCCCTCTGTTCACTTAGGAACTTGGAGACACTGTGAGAGTTGACTGTGCACATGTGCGGAGGGCACAGCGCATGAGTGTGTGGGTAGATGGTTAGGGACCCATTTCTCACTCCTAGTCCCCATCTCCTCCTCCAGTCACCACCCATCTCCTGCCTCTACTTGTGAACACCAGGTGATTAACAGCCATTTCCAAATGCAAATGACTCCAAGATTTGGTCTGTGGAGAACATAAAAGCTTTTGATTCCATCACTGGTCCTGATTACAAATCTCTGAGTTGGCCCCAAAGGCCTTTTGTTTTCAGATATTCAGCACGGAAGGAGGAATCTCTGGCCCCTCCAAAGGTAACAGTATTATCAGTGAGCGTGATCTATCCACTGATATGAGCATTCTAAGTGGCTTTTCTGAGAGCACCAGGTCCAAGATGCCAAGAATGACATCTCAGAATTCAAGGTCAAGCCTTCGGCCAGCTCTTCTTTTTGTCAAATAAGGTTCCCTTTATTTACTGTTATAAATTACAAGAGTAGAATGAATAGACTTAGAAAGCAGCTCTCCTGTCTTTCAGGCTTGCTCTAATTTTCCTTCCCCTGCCTTCCTATCCCTAAAAAGAGAACGAGAGAGAGAGAAAGGAAGGAGGAAGAAAGAGAGAAGAAAGAGGAACAAAAGAAAGAAAGAGGAGAGAGAAAGA